CTTTAATAGCTATAGCACTATTTGCATGATCTCTTTCTTCTTTAGTCAGTTTTAGGAGGGTTTTCTTTATATGTGTCAATTCATCGGAGTTTGGAAATTTGTTATTATACAGTTTTTATTGTCTATTTGATTTCTGCTATCTTGAGTTATAATGACCTTTTTATTCATAACATTATTTATTTGAACTCCCTTAATTTTTTCTTCATCATCATGGCAGAACTCTATATTGTTATCATTTTGTTTTTTCTACTTTTTCTCTATTATTTCCTTTGTTCTATTTCCTTGAGATTATATATAATGTATTTTTATATATATTTGTTTTTCTTTTTTTTTCTAAATTAAGTTGTAAAAATTTAGCTTTTTTTCATTAACACCTGACTTGCGGTCCGAGAATGTAGTTGGTGTAGATGTGTTCCTTGAAATTTGTGGAAACTGACTTTGTGGCCTTGTACATGTGAAATTTGTAAATGTTTCACGGGCCCTTGAAAAGAGTATTACTCTAATTTTTAATGTGGAAAATTATATGTGACCATTAGACTGTTCGTTGTGTTAAAATTACTTCCATTTTTGAAGTCTGTGTGGTTTTGTCGGCTTGACTTACAAGTAGTGAAAGAGGTGTGTTGAAATCTTCACCATAATGGAAGGTTTGTCTCATTCTCCTCGCAGTTACATCATTTTTTTTTTAAATGCATTTTTGAGGCTATTTTTATTGAGTGCATATATGTTAAATTGTATCTTCCTGGTAAATTGAACTTACTACGTATGTAGTCATCCTCTCTGTCCTTCATGGTGCTTTTTATCTTCATCTGTTTTGTCTGATACTAATGTAGTGAAGCCACCTGTCGTTTGGCTAGAATCCCTTTCGCTTGAGACTTGTCCTTCTGCTTGAGGTGTGTTTTAGACATTCTCTTCTTTCTCCATCAGTGAATGTAGTCAGTTTAAATCTGTCATTATGGCTGTACTTAAACTTGCTTCGATCGTCTTCTAATTACCCTGTTTTACTTACGTATTTTAATTTTCTTTTTTGGGATTAAGTTTTATCCTTTTTTTTTTTTGGTTTTGCCTTTTTCTTTATTTTTTTTTCTCCATTGGGTTGGGATTTATACTCGTTATTTTATTGTTCATTTCTGAAATTTTATATGCTTGTTTAACTTTATTTTTTTTTAATAGTTCATTGTCAAGTTGGTTTTCATATCACACCCAGTGCTCATCCCCACAAGTGCCTCCTCCATGTCCATCTCCCCCCTCCACCCCACACCCATCAGCCCTCAGTTTGTTCTCAACATTCAAGAGTCTTTCGTGGTTTGCCTCTCTTCCCCTCCTCCACTATTTCCCCTCTTCTTCTCCCCCACGGTTCTATCTAATATCATTTCTTTAGAAGCGTCAGCTGAGCTGGACATTACCTGATTGTATATGTGGACATGGCATCCACAATTACTTTTTATTCTCTAAGTTGAAATTTCTGCACTTGAAGCTTTTTCTCCTAGATAATTTTCCTGTAGTGAGAAAGTCGTAGGTGCCCTGATTAGATCAGAACTGTATAATATAGGGCGCCTGGGTGGCTTAGTCGGTTAAGCATCTGACTTTCGCTTAGGTCATGATCTCGCGGTTCGTGGGTTTGAGCCCTGCGTCGGGCTCTGTGCTGACTGCCAGCTCAGAGCCTGGAGCCTGTTTCAGAGTCTGTGTCTCCCTCTCTCTCTGCCCCTTCCCTGCTCATGCTGTCTCTCTCTCTCCTAGAAATAAATAAAAATATTAAAAAAAAAAAAAAAGAACTGTATAATATAAAGCATAGAGCTTGAGATCAGGATTTTAAAGTTAGGATGGTCAGACCAAACAAACTACTAGGCAATAAATTAGACCATAATCTGGTGCTAGCCTTTAAGTCAAATGAACATTTTTCATCCAGTATTGTCTTTTAGCTTTAATTTTGTCCACCCATTTTGTTCTAAGTAATTTGAGCTTCTAAATTCATAATTTGTAATACAGTTTATTTTTCATTTATACTAAGGCCATTGGTTTGTCGGCAAAGTCATTTCTGTTTCCTCTACTACCTGATACTCTGCTTTCTTAGGAAAAGAGGTTTTTCTTTATTGGTCGTTTGCTAAGCACATATTTTTAAGTGATTCAGAGTGACTTCTGTTTACTTCCACTTCAGGAAGAAAGATCCAACATACTGTGTTGTGGGGGTTTTGTTTTTGTTTTTGTCTTTTGAGAGCATTTGAGCTCTCAGCTCTTCTGGCACCTCCCAGTGAGCAAATCAGGATAAACTAAACATTTATGTCATCTTTCTGCCTGGAAGTTTCTAATTGTATCAGATTCTAAAATGTATGTGTATTCCCCCCCTGCTTTTATTACATATATAAAACATAGGATGAAGCTTTTAAAGCACTTTTAAATAAGCCTGTATAACTTATGGTATACCATTTTATGAAAAAAAAAAAAAACCTTATAAAGGCAGGGGTACAAACTCGTTACATAATTGTTTTAAAAAAATGTTACAGTTTGGTGTCTGTTTTCTAGACCCTTTCTATGCATTCATGGAGTTTTTTCCCTAAGAATTATTTTCTAACCTATGTTGTGGTTTTGGCAATATAATACCAACATTATTTATGTGGATACTTAATGGATCTTCCTTATCTTTTTTAATGGTGGTATAAATATTCCAGTGTATGGATGTAACATTCTTTAATCTATCCTTTCCGTGTGAACATTTAGATTATTTCCAATCTTTCTCAAAGTAGTACAGCACAAATTTATATTACACATGTATGTTATATATGTGTGTTTGTATATTAAGTTTTGTACAGCATAAAGTAAAATCGCATCAGAGCAAATCCATTTTAAATTTTAGTGGATATTATTTCATGTGTAGTGAACAGGAGCTCCGTGCACTGCTGGTGGGAGTATAAATTGGTACAACCACTTGGGAAGATTGTTTGAAAGTGTCTGTTAACGGTGAACATCACACGCTGCGGCCCAGTCACTTTGTGCCTAGATCCACACCCGGCAGGAAGAGGCGCCTGTGATGCCAAGGGCATGAGCAGACACCGGGAGCAGCGTGAAGTCAGGGGTTAGGAACTGGCCCGCCCCGCGTCCACCGACGGCTGAGTGAATACAGAAGTTATGAAGTATTTATACAAAGTAGTGTTCTACACCAAAGGGGTGAATTAACTACAGCTAAATAAAACAACATGGATGAGTCTTACTAACATAATGTTGAGCTAAAGAAGCTAGACACAAAAATATATGTCCTCTGATTCCATTTAATTAGTGTTCACCAACTTGCAGAGGCGAGTCACACAGTCAGAAGTCAGAATAGTGGCTCCCTTTAAGGGGAGAGCAGTGGTGGGAGTGAAGCACTAGGAGGGTTCTGGAACCCTGGCTGTGCTCTGGTGCTCCATACTGGTGCTGCTTACCTGGGCTTGTTTCATTTGTGAAAATTCATGGTGCTACACCGTGAACCCATTATGCCTTCCTGTGTGTGTGTTCTTCAGTGAAAAATTTGCCGTGAAGGAGTTCACTTTGTTTTTGATCTATACAACCACTTCCAGACTCCTACTCGGAGTGACTGTTGGTTTTCTGTACTCCTGGCAGTCTGACAGACATGAAAATCATTTAGTGTGACAGATGGACAAAGAGGTCAAATTTTTTTAATGTTTTTAATTTATTTTTGAGAGCGTGTGTGCATGAGAGAGAGACAGAGACAGAGTGTGAGCCGGGGAGGGTCAGAGAGAGAGGGAGACACAGAATCTGAAGCAGCTCCAGGCTCTGTGCTGACGCGGGGCTCGAACCCACAAACCATGAGATCATGACCTGAGTCAAAAGTTGGACACGCAACCAACTGAGCCATCCAGGCACCCCTTGATTTTTTTTTTTTTATCTTATTATAAGTGAGTCTCAGCATGCTTTTGTATATTTACTGACAATTCATTTCTTCTATAATTTCCCTACTCCTGTCCTTTGCCTGTTTTTCTGTTACAGTGTTCAGTTTTCTTACTGATTTGTAGACCTTTTTGGTGTCAAAACATAATGTTTAAAACATTTCTTTAATATTTATTTTTGAGAGACAGAGAGGGAGACAGAGTGAGCAGGGGAGGGGCAGAGAGAGAGGGAGACACAGACTCTGAAGCAGCTCCAGGCTCCGCGAGGTGTCAGCACAGAGGCTGATGCAGGGCTCGAACCCACGGACTCGAGATCATGACCTGAGCTGAAGTTGGACATTTAACTCACTGAGCCACTCAGGTGCCCCAAAATATAATGTTTTAAATAACAAATTCAAACTAACAATCTTATTAAGTATATCCTATGTTAGGAAAGTTTCTTCTAATAATTAGTCTTAAAAAGAGCCCGGTATTCTTCAGTCTCCAGCTCTGTAGCCAACTCAGTTCTGAGGAGAGTAGAATCTGCCTCATTAGCTCCAAATCTGTTCTCTGATATGGACTCCATATAGACTAGAATCCATTTGAAAGTCCTTGTTTTATTGTATATATATTAATATTCTCTTTTTCTTGACTAGTTTGTTCTTTGCTGGGAACACTGTGAACTCAAAACAAGTTTACCCACTACATGTTACCCTTTGTTTCTTCTCATTTCTCTTTATGCCTTTACATTTCCTCATATGGAGAGGAGAAATGATCTTGAATAGGATTTGTTGTATTTGTAGTAAATTGCATATTAATTTTGTCTATATTACGTTTTTATAAAATAGCCCTTTAAAAACCAATGTGCCGCATGCGATTTCGTTTACTCTCAACCAGTACCAAATTTCTAAGTGATCTTTTCACTAAAATATTTTTAGTAACTCAACTAGTCTGATGTAGTCTCACTGTTGTGTCTGCCTTCTTATGCTTTGGTTGGGGATGCCTTATTGAGATAATGTTTAATTCAAATATTTTCTAGACTTTGCCGTATTTTAATGTCCCTCATTTTCACTCTCTAGTGGCCTGTGGATTTTTTTTTTTCATTTATTTTTGTTTTTTCTTTTAACATGTAATTCACAGGCGCTCTGCTGTTGCCCGCATTCAGGAGTTCTTCAGGAGGAGAAAAGAAAGGAAAGAAATGGAAGAACTGGATACTTTGAACATTAGAAGGCCGCTAGTAAAGATGGTTTATAAGGGCCATCGCAACTCCAGGACAATGGTACCGAATGCTCATGGCGCTCTTTGCGAGAAACTGCAGATTCACAATATGAATTTTTTCCATGATGATAATCTTACGTTACCAGTGTGCTTCCAGGATAGCATTATTGTACCTTAAGAGTTACCTCTTTACCCAAACATGGTTCTTTTAGTCCTAGAATATATTGCCAAAGGCCATTATTGTTTAAAGAAAATTCTGCCCTACTAAGGAAGTATTGTAGAATTGAAATTTTTTAGCTGGTACAAGTAACTCTTCTCGCACTTGCTACCTGCCTAGTCGATTTTTTTAGCTCATATTAGCGCCCTCTGTTGGTTTGGAGAAGAAGATTTAGATATAGGAAATCCAGGCTCATTGCAAAATGTCCAGTTACTTTAATTATAACTCTTCTTAAGACTGACAAGTGAAGATGTGTTTTAGTCACTTTGTCTCTCTAGACTTTAGTGTCTGCCTTTATGAAAGAATAGACTAGATGATCTCTAAGATCTTTGCACGTCTTAAAGTCCACAAGCCTATACACCCAGTGTGATATTAAGATCTTGTGAGATGACTAGCATCATTGATAACTCCGAACCGTTCATATTTAGAAAGTCTTGTTCTTACATATTCATTGAGTTATCCAAAAGTACCTATAGAATTAGTGTTTAGTCTGCTTCCTTCAGAATCAAGGCAAAAATTGATTTTTTTTTTTTTTTTTTTTTTTTTTTTTTGTGGGAACACTTCATTCGGTAGAATGTGTGACTCTTGATATCAGGAACCTGAGTTCAAGCCACACGTTGTGTGTAGAGCTTGCTAAACAAAAAAGTTATTTGGGCCAGGGAAATCATTAGCTCTCTCTATAGATGTCATTGATAGTATCAGTTTAATCACTCTAAACAGAATGCTTACTAGAAGCAATCAGTGCACATTTCTTAGATTTTGTGGTTAACATTTTGGAGGAAAATACTTAGGGGTAGGAATGGAAGACAAGGAAATAGAACAGTGGTGCTAAGTAACAACAAAGCCAGCCACCCCTTTCGTTTCGGCAAAAAGAGCAAAGTAGCGGTGCTGATGAAATGATTGAAAAAATCCTGAACTACAGAGATGTTGGATCGTTTATTCACATGCATCCACTGAAATACGGCATCACAACCATTCCAGTGCATCCTCCTCCTTTGTCTCATTGCTTCGTAGAAGTCAACACGTTTTATCCTTTCTCAGTTGTGGGAGAATAGCTAATAAAAAGATTGGTACTTTCTGTTCTTCTGGCATAAAGCAAAATACAAAAAGGAACCATTCATTTTTTTTAATGAACTGTTTTTATTATAAACCTAAAATGGAACCATTTTTGGAAAGGTCAGCAACATATATGGAAGTTTCCATTACGCTGCCCCAGCCCCAGAAATCCCAGTCATTCATTTAGCACTTACTGACTCAGACCCACTCTTGCCAAGTACTGTTTCAGGCCTTATAGATACAGATTGAGCAGAGCAGAATCTCTGTTTTCATGGGGAACTTTTCATTACTTCGTGCCATATCATGCTTGCTGATAAATCTGTATCATTTTCAAGTAATAGAAGACAAAGAGTCTCTTCTATTTTTTATTATTTTCTAATATTTTCAATTGCAGAATAGACTTAAGTCTTTGTTTTAATAACTCTGATTTAAGTTTTCCTGTAATTTCCTTTTTCTAAACCCTTAGATAAAAGAAGCCAATTTCTGGGGTGCTAATTTTGTGATGAGTGGTTCTGATTGTGGCCATATCTTCATCTGGGATCGTCACACTGCTGAGCATTTAATGCTTCTGGAAGCTGATAATCATGTGGTGAACTGCCTGCAGCCACATCCGTTTGACCCAAGTAAGACGGCCTTTCATAAGGCAGAAGCTGGAAATTCGTTTCTCAGCTCCAGTTTTGTTCTATTTTTTAAGATAAAAATAATGCAAATTCTCCTAGAAGATAGCCACTGGAGTCCATTAGGATTCCCATTGGGTTTAAAACAGAAATACTTAGAACCTCCTTTTGGAGGAAAGTGGGGAAATACTGTAAAGTAGTTTATCCTCCTAATAGTTCTTCTAAGTATCAGCACTTGCAGGAGCTTTGGCTGACTGCACTTCGCACCACTTACCCGAACACCACCTCTGAGCCTTTTCAGTCTTCACGCGTCCAAGTTAATGGACCAGAACAAAGGAGCTTGGCTTGTTCTTGCCTTCCATTTGACATTGCCCATGTTTCTCATTAAAGAGCAATGGACAAGAAAGAATTTTGAGTGATTTCAAGATGGTCTTAAAATTATGTTCCAGGGTAACATTTAGGAAATATTCAAAATAATATTTTCAGTTAAAAAATATTTATCAGTACTGTTTCCATTCCAGCTCAGTTTTACTGTACATATACATGCATGTATATAGACATGCATAATGGATAACATATATGCATGTCTTAATGCCAGGTTTTTATGCTTTATATTAAAATGAACATTTTATTTCTAGTTCTAGCCTCATCTGGCATAGATTATGACATAAAGATCTGGTCACCACTAGAAGAGTCCAGGATTTTTAACCGAAAACTTGCTGATGAAGTAAGATTTTTACTTATACTTATTATAGAGCATATGTCACTTTATTCCTGAAATGCTTTCTTAAGAAGACTCAAAGCAGCTCATTATTAGTTAGTAACATAAACAAGTTTATTTAGTTAAGGAGGTCGAATTTTAAGAAAAAATAACATGCCTATAATACTAGAGAAGTAAAAATCAAAATATTTTGGTAATTATAATATTGATCATTGGTAATACCAGATTAAGTGTATTCTAGTGTAAGAAAAACAGATTGACTATCTGTGCTTTTGCAATGAAGAGTCATTTAATAAACCTTCTGTCCTTTTAAGAAAATAGTTTTATTCTGGCTACCCGCCATAATCACAGCCACATAAGTAGCAGAAGAAATGACTGGAGAATCTTTTCCTTTTTTTTTTTTTTTTTTTATATTTCAAGATTTCTTCAGCTCCTTGTTAAACCAACAGCTTCCAAACTGGGTTGTGTGGAGCTCCAGGTTTTTTTGTGGGGCGAGAAGAGGGAACGTAGATGACACGAATGCTGAATTCTGGGCTTTCCTCCCTAGCTTCAGCTGGGGTTTTTATTAGTGAGTTTTCATATAAGATTTCTTATGAAAATAGGGTTCATGGCACTAATCAGCTCCCGACTTAACTGTTGAGTTTCTGTGAGTAGGTGAGTATAGCTCAAGTAGGTGCTGTGCTTGCTTAAAAACAAAGCGAGGCTCCATTACTCAGAAACATTAGTTAGAATGGAAAGAGCCTAAGTGTCCATCAACGGACGAATGGATCAAGAAGATGTGGTTTATCTATACGAAGGAATAATACACGGCAATGAGAAACAATGAAATCTGGCCATGTGTAGCAACGTGGATGGACCTTGAGGGTGTTATGCTGAGCGAAATAAGTCAGGCAGAGAAGGACAAATATCATATGTTTGCACGTATAGGAGGATTAGGAGGAACTTAACGGGGGACCATGGGGGAGAAGAAGGGGGCAAATGGTGGGGGAAAGGGAGAGAGGCAAACCATGAGAGACTCTTGAATGCTGACAAAAACTGAGGACTGATGGATGTGGGGGGGACGGGGGATGGGCATGGAGGAGGGCACTTGTGGGGATGAGCACTGGGTGTTATGTGGAAACTAATTTGACAATAAACTTTTTGGGGGGAAAAAAAAAAAAAAGAAACGTTAGTTAGAAAGCCAGAGCCCTAGACCAGGGTTGACAGTTCACAGCATAATTCCCACATCTGCTTTCTAATAGACATTTATAATTTCTATGTCAGTCACAGTGCTGAATTTTATTTTTTAATTTTTTAATGTTTATTTTTGAGAGAGAGACACAGCGTGAGGCAGGGAGGGCAGAGAGAGAGGGAGACGCAGAGTTGGAAGCAGGCTCCAGGCTCTGAGCTGTCCGCACAGAGCCCAATACGGGCCTCAAACCCACAAATTCGCAAGACCATGACCCGAGCCAAAGTCAGATGCCCAACTGACTGAGCCACCCAGGTGCCCTAGAGAATTTAAAAAAAAAAACAAAAACCTTCCCTCAGAGCTTATAGACTGCTGGGAAAGACAGACTTGTGAACAGTCAGCCAGAATGTAGAGAGGCACACACAGTGTTCTGGAAGCCTGTGCAAAGGAGCAGAGGTGCTTGCAAATGGGGTCGATGGGATGGGGGAATCTTCACAGAGAAAGTACGGATTGGGCTGAGTGCGCGAGGCAGACGGGGGGCTAGGGAGTACTTGGGATGAAGGGTCAGCAGGTTCCAGGGTGCCCTAAGGTAAATTATGAACCACTGGTGAGTGGATAAGAAAGCAGCTCCCTGGGGCAAGATTGTAAAGGGCCCTGAGGGTGCCCCATAAGTTAAAAGCGTATAAATCACTGGGAAACCATTGATGACGTCAGCATCTTTCTCTTACTTTCATGCTTTCCTTTCTTTCTTCCTTTTTTCCTTTGCCATGTGCTTTGCTGTTCCTTTCTTTTCCCCTTTGCCTGTGATTGTACAGCAGATCCCTGGGTGTTTACGGATATTCATTTAGTCCTGTTCTTGGTACTTAAGATTGGTAACGCTGAATCCAAAACTTTTATATTTCAAGATTACTGTGCCTCAGTCAAGGTAACATTTTCTCAAGAGATCCGAGTGACCCAGGGATAGTAATGTAACACCACTCTGTCACTGAGAGCATCCGCTCTGCCATCGGGGGAAGTAATGAGCAGTCACGGGGTACACTGCTCTGGGAAACAAGGCACAAGAAAAAAGTCCTTGAATTCTTGAATGTTTTAAGTAGCCTCAAGTGTGACCTTTGTCTTTGTGCCAGTTGAGAGAGTGGCGTTCTGTGATGTTACTGCCTCACTGCAAGTTAATTACCTGGCATCAAGTAAGGCGCCTTAGGGTGGAAATCTCCATAGCGTACACGTAAGGAATGAAGTAACCCCTCTGAGGACCTGCTAATCTCTTCACTGCTGTCCTCATCTTCATGGGAAAGTACAGTCACTTCATTGTCTCTGACATGGTCGGTCAACTTGCCTCTTAGGTCATAACTCGGAACGAGCTCATGCTGGAGGAGACTAGAAACACCATCACGGTCCCAGCCTCTTTCATGCTGAGGATGCTGGCCTCACTGAATCACATCAGAGCTGGTAAGGGCCGTCATTGTATTATTCACACCATTGTGACCTTTGGCAAACATGCTGTTACTTATCAGTTGCTTCAAAGTGATTTGTATAATTTCCCGTAACCACAAAATGAGGCCAGGTAGAACTCCTGAGCTATAGGAGGACTGTGAACCCTTGATCTTAGTGCAGTAACTTACTTCCTCATGAACCAAATCCATTGAAAAGTGTCCAAATGAAAAGACAAAGTCACTTTAAAACTTTTATCAGCTGTGGGGGCGCCTGGGTGGCTCAGTCAGTTAAACGTCTGACTTCACCTCAGGTCATGATCTCACGGTCAGTGAGTTCGAGCCCCGCGTCGGGCTCTGTGCCAACCGCTCGGAGCCTGGAGCTGCTTCAGATTCTGTGTCTCCCTGTCTCTGCCCCTCCCCTGCTCACGCTGTCTCTCTCTCTCTCTCTCTCAGAAATAAATAAAAATTTAAAAACAGGAAGTGAATGTAATCAGTCTGTGGTGATAACAGTAGAAAAGGCCCAGTGTCCATTACAAACAGAGTGCACTTCACAGGCAGACGGCGCTTGTGGTTCTTCACTGAGTCCACAGATTAAGTGTCTTCACACGCTGGGCATCATCTGTTATTTAACAATAACGACAGCCATCGTTTCTCGAGGGCCTGTAACGAGTCAGCACCTCACTAGTCTTTCACAGATGTTTCCTAGTGAGCTCCAACCTCTGCGAAGTCGGTTATTCGTAGTAACTTCCCCGCTCACAGCTCAAGAGCCTGCACATGAAGCTGACTTGCACGCACTTACTCCCCTGTAAGTCGCCCTAGAAAGTTCACTTGCAGGAATACATCCACATCAGGAATATGACCTGCAGCCCTCTGGGTGATCCGATCACAAGCTGCTTTTCAGGCTCATTCACAGCATTTACTCCTTCTGTGCCCCCTCCTTCCACTCTGGCCCGTTTTGAATGTGGGGGCACGTCAAACTCTTCCCCATCTCAGGGTCTTTGTCATCATGCTGTCCCCTCCCGCCCTCACTCTGCGTTAGGGTCACTTCTGCTTATCCTTCGTGTCCTGTAAGCGGTGGATTAAATACCACCTCCTCGGAGGGAGGAGGGACAAATACTCCAGGCAAGGTAAGGAGCATGTAGCATTTTTCAAAGTCCTGGAGGAGAAGGCGTGTGCAGCACAGGTAAAGAGTTGAAAGAAGCTCATATGAGGTGGGGAGAAAATCATCACACTGTAAATACTTCCAGGAAAGAATGAACATTTCAAATGGTCAAAACAAAATAAAAAAATAAACATGGAGCATAAACAGAAAATGTTAGTAGTCCAACAGAATATTTTTGCAGTAGCTTTTAGGCTTCTGTATTATTACATTAATAACTACTATTTTTGATCCATTTTCTTCAGTAACAGTGAGTAACCCTTAAAATTCATCCATTTAGATTTCAGACTTGAGGAGGCAGCATTTTCTAGAACATTTGCCAATTAGGATTCTTAAAACTTCCTTGTTCTTCTGAGGAGTTTATCTGGTGAATGGCTCTAACTCAGTTTTTCTGTAGAAATCAGACTCTTCCCTGACCGCTGCCGCTGCCCCTTCGTCTGCGGCTGAGAGAGGCGGCTCCCGCGGCGAGGGTGCCCTTTCTGCCGGCAGCCAAAACGCTGTCGAATTGGCTTAGTCCACGCACCCTCTGGCTTCTCTTACGTAAAAGACTGGAAAGTAAAATGGACCCGAGTTGTTTGTATCATTAAGACATCAAGTTTTTGGAGGAGTCCGTTGTTCACCCCTTTCCTTTCCTTCCCTCCTTGTCTCCGGTACTGGGAGAGCCGTGAGCCTGTGGGCTTCAGGGGGTCGGTGGCCTGTGCTGCGGTAGCCCTGGCCCCCTGCAGGTGGCGCGGCCCCCGTTCCTCCCCAGGGCTCGGGGCGGGGGGGGGGGGGGGGGGGGGGGGGGGGGGGGGGCAGGGCGAAGGCTGCACTTCAGGTCCCCGGTGGGGCCTCGTAAACGACGCGGACTTGGGTCCTACGCCTTGAAGGTTCTTACCCGTTTCCTCTGAATAGCGTTTGGGCTGCGTTTTCAGAAGAGCATCCAAAACCCTTCCCATGAGCACAGCGCTAAAGACTGTGGCGGCTGCTTCCGATGGGGGCCCCCAGACGTGCGGCAACGATGGGAGGCCGAACAAAGGCGATGGACGTTGACTGACTAGTAGGGGGGAGGCCGGCAGAGGGGAGGCTGTCTGCAGCGGGCGGAGCTGTTACTCAAGGAGGCCGGCGAGGAGGGGCGGCTGCGGCGGGGCTTTCCCTTTCCCCGCAGCTGCGCCTGGTCACTTAGGTCCTGTGGCCGCTGGTGGCCGTCTCTGCTCAGCCACGTGGTCCCTGCGGGCCCTTTAAACAGTCCGTTCCTCGGGCCCGTTTGCCTAAAAGTGGCCTCTGCAAAGACTCCTAGTGTAGACCAGCCACTGCTTGACATGTAAAGGCAGTTCTGAGACCCCTGCAAGTTTTGATGGACCTTGAAGGTGGTCATCGTGTGTCTGGGCCATTCTCCACTCTTCCAGAATATCTCCGTACGAGGCTCTCCCGTGTCCTTAGGCTAAGCGTCCAGACGTGGTAACAGGACGCGGCACTGGACATACTTCCCGTCATGCCCCTGGGCCTCGCCCCGGAGCCCGACGCGCCCGGAGCCCGACGCCGCAGCGCGCTCCCAGCCGGGCCCGGGTTCACTCCCTCCGCAGTCGGGGCAACATCCTCGAGGATGTGACCGTCTTCACCGCCCCAGCCTCCCCGCTCCCTCCCTGGCCTCCGCAGTGCGGCCTCCGCAGGCAGGCGCGCGCCTACTCGCCTACTCGTGTGGGAGCGGGGGCAGCACAGAGGCTCCGGGGGGGCGGAGGGGCCCCTGGGAAGTGCACGCCTGAGACTCTAGGCAGGGCCTTCGTGGTAACGTTGTGGTGCCCCCTGCCCCCTCCTTCTCAGGCCCCGACCCCCTTCCCCCCCTTCCTCCTCGGGGCCCGACCCCCCTCCCCCCTTCCTTCTCGGGGGCCCAACCCCCACCCCGTTCCTTCTCAGGGCCCGACCCCCCTCCCCCCGTTGGTCTAGGTGCCCCTGGTGGACTCGGTGCTGTGCGAGGAGTTGGACGGCCGTGCTGCCCCCCCCAGAGCGCAGGCTTTACGGGGTTTGCTGGTTTTCGTGAGGCGT